ATTGTGTGTGTGTCTGTTGCCTTTTATAATTGCTGTTGTGAAAGTAGGAAATTCTGCTTGGTGTGGTCGTTTTGGTTTGACTTCTGTGTCGCTAGCTATTTCTCTACTTTCAATAGTGTTGCTTGCATGTGAACCTTTCTGTAGTGGTGGTGTTGGTGCTTTGTTGTCAATAGTTGTGAAGTGTAAGTAGATGTCGATTATTTAGAGTGTGCGAGCGGACATGAATGGAGACGATGCAGAGGTCGTTCATTCGGAACCGAAAACTACTTCTGCCGTAGGTAGTGGCGGAGGTGATCACGGACATGGGGGATCTGGAACTGTGAGTCATTTTCGAAGCCTAAATGGAAAAGTTTCGAAGAAGGGGGACATAGGGTTCATTCTTCTGCGCAACAGTGAATGAACCTAGCTTAGTTCATTGTCATTTTTGTCTTGTTGTGCAATGTTTTTCAAAAGTTCTTGCTCTGCTATACTCATTTCCCTGTTCGGGGAGACCGTTGCCTTTCTTCACAGCAGTGATAAGGAATAGCTCTGGTCCGGAAAACTTTTGGTTGGAAAACCGTCTTCATGTTACGTAAAATTATGGGGTGTTTGATGAGAGATATCATTCGACATTTCACCTTGTGACATGGCCGACCTTTTTTTGCTCTGCTAGCAAGAGTTTTGTGTTATCTTGAAAGGGTCTGAGTGAATATTTGAGTCGTTGTCATATTTGTACGGCCTATTTTTGATTGTACTTTACCGTTATCGTTGCAGTTTGAATTTGGCGAGGTGATGGTATACCAGGCAATTCACACCATTGAGTTTGTTCTTGGATGTGTTTCGCACACTGCGTCATATCTTCGACTTTGGGCTCTTTCGCTAGCTCATGCTCGTAAGTCAATTTTACTATGATGATCAACTTTGAGGTCCTAATGATGAGTTTCGGTCAAAAAATGTTTCAGTTGCATTACGGGACCAGTACATTTTTTGTGGGTCACAAATTGAGCTACTGCCGTTTTTTGGATTCTTTGTCTAGCCTTACAGCATTCTCCAGACGTCGATGCAGGGTTAAGCTGTTATATGCAGAAACCGATTCATTGCTTATTTTAGAGCTGTCGGATGTCTTGTGGACAATGGTGTTCCGTCATTCGTTCCGTCTTGACGGCTACTATGGAGCAGTGGCCACATACGTTTTGTTCTTTGTTTTCGGCTCCTTATCGATTTTCATTCTCGTGCTCATGGAAGGTTTATCAGCATTTCTACACGCGCTTCGTCTTCACTGGTCAGTTTCCATTCCAACTGATGCTATACACTTAAATTATTTAGGCAGTTCATGGTGCAATTACTTTTTTTGCAGGGTCGAGTTCCAGTCCAAATTCTATGGAGGTTTGGGTCACGCTTTCACTCCTTTCTCTTTTGAGAAAATCCTTGAGGAAGAAAGAGAAGCTGAAGAATCATTGTAGTGGTGTTTCCATATGTTGGTAAATCAGCTGGACACACTTATCTTGTGCTAACTCTCAAAACAATTAGTATTAACTTTCTTTCGGCGCTTTTGTCGTTTACGTGTTGTACTTCTTGCGTTATGTGCTTTCCTATCATTATTTGTCAAAGTTTTTTGTCCCTAGATTTTTCTTTGATGCACTGGCAATAGCTACCTATTTATATATTAAGTTATTAATTAATTTGTACCTATCTGTCAAGAAAAGAGGTCCGGGCGGAAAAGCAATTTATATTATTTCTCGGATTGTAGTCAATTCCGCGAATTGATGACAGCGATCGTTGCTGGTTAGTGGCGTCTATGTGGTAGGTGATCAGCAATGGGTTGATTAGACCACGTCTTGCTGTGTCTGCTGGACATTCATTAGTCATCAGAAGTTCCAAATTTTCGGCTGATAGGGGTGTGGTGTACGCATTTCTGGTCTCGGTGTCGCCTATTATTTGCATAGTATTCTCGTAATCATTTTAATTTCAAAATTCTATTGGCTATTTAGCAAGCAACAATGAGCTTTAGTCGATTTAATTTCAATTTAGTGTTACTATTGTGCATTTATGGTGATTGTGTGGAGTAAATAAACTTTCGTAGTGATTTTGTCTTCTGTTTGAGTTGGACGAGTTTGAGCTATGATACTGAGGATGTTCTTCATTTCCATTGATGGTAGTGTGACTACAGTCCTCTTTTATAGGAAATATGACACGGTATCTGTCTCCATTCGATTGCGTACAGAAATTGGGTTAGTGTTTGTGTCGTTAGTTCATTGGTGTCTATTGAGCTCTTTCTAACGTGTCAAGCTTCACACATATTGTTATGGAAACATTTTGGTCGCTTGTACTGCTGTTCATAGAAAGTTGGGAGTGACATTTTACTCAACACAGTCGTGTGCTACTAGCTGCCGAGTGACTTCACTTTATTTGAGAACTAGATCATTCGTTGAGGAGAGGCGCCATGAGCCTCTGAGGAGGCAGTCTCTGATTAGCGGGAACCAGTCCGTGAAAGTCGAGAAGTAAAATGCTCAGATAGCATGTAGTGTAGTTCAAAGATAGACGAGCTTCCCTCGAAAAGGCAGCACTGTGACCACCAATAAGCACCTGCATCAGCCGGATGTGATGCCCATCGCTACTTCTGGGTTCATAGGGACTTGCCGAAACTCCGACACACGGGTATACCGGCCGCCCACGTGGAATCGGCAAGCTAGGTACATATTGGAGGGAAATTACAGGTCGCTAGACATAGGAGGAGCCGCACTATTTTCTGTAATTGAGTCATATAACTCAAGGAAAGAAAGCACAGAATGAGAAATGCGTCGATGGTGCTCTATCGAAAGCCGCCAAGAGTTAGATTTATATTCAGATTGACGACGACATTTAGTACCAATAGTGCCGATCAACCGACCTCTGACGACTGCACTCAGCTTGCGTGGATGGTTTGGCTAATTCCCATCTATGATTTTGGTAGTGACACCTTTTCCCACCTGTTATCTTTCCCTGCAAAAATGCTGGTGCTCAGGAATATCATCAGGTCGATGCAATATGAATTTTCTTTCTTCGCTTAGGAATTTCTGAAAGCATTATTGACTGCTTCCGGAGGAGGGCTAAGCCATTTGTAGTCTGGTAGCTTACCCTCATTCTATGGTCAATAATTCAAAGAATGAATTGGCTGAAATTGTTCGCTTGCAAGCATGTATGGGTCACACTATTATCACAGTCAGTGCACAACCTCTTGAAAGATTGCATCCGGTTGTTAATGCAACAGGCCTTTCGAAACGAGGCGGGTCCATTGAGAAAAAAGCATTACGGCGTCTCATAGTCTCACTCCTCAGAAAACTTTTCTGTCTGCTAAGTATGTGACCTCCACTTACAAGCTTTTGGAAGTAACGTCTCTCTGCTGGAATCCACGAGTGGCATCTGGTCCTTACCTGACTTGCCTGTTCCACGAGGGTGTCGGTATACTCGTGTCCCGAAGTTCAGGCAGGCTTCCCATTGCACCTATAGTAGTGCTATGGGCACCATTGCCGACTGGTGCAGGTAAGGTACCTGGATTACACTCAAAGTCACCCAAGTTTGAGAGGTCTTCCTTAGTTCCTCGCTAGAGGGTCAGCAGTGCTAATTTTCCCTCGTGCTGCTATCTCTTTGAATGCAGGAAAGGGAATAGGGTTGCAGTAGTCCTTTTATACTGTAGTTTTTAATAGTTTCGTGAAGATAATAGGGCTACCGTCCTCATTGACTAACCACAGTGTTTTCTATTGTTAGTTTCTTTATAGGCGCGTCAACTGCACGCATGAATAAATAAATAAATAAATAATATAAGTAAATAAGACACAATGAAAGAAATTGAATGCTAAACCAAGTGGGAACTTCTGACAAACTTAGGGTATTATTACCTACCAGATCACCAATCAATGGAGGCGAATCGAAATGATGAACGCATCAAAGCGACATTCATAATGCACCAGCCCAATATACATGGGGGGGGGGGGGGGCTGGCAAAAAAATCACTTCGCCGTGGCGCACATCACCAAATTTTTTTCTCGCACAGGGTTTGCCATTTGTTGAGGGATTTTTAACGCAGAATACCGGTTGCTAAGTGGCGATTGGGGGGGACACGGGCGACGCGGCACTCGCGCGCCTGGCACTCGGCGAAATCCGTTTGAGCCGGCGAGTGTTTTAGACAGTCTAGGGGGGGCGTGAGGCGACACTTGACAATCGCCGTGAAAGTTGAAATGTTTTTCGAGTTTCGCTTAGGTTCTCGCTTGAGAAGAACACTGGTGGGAGCAAGACGTGCCGTTGCGCCGCCGCGTGGTCCCCCCCAACCCACTTAGCACCCAGAATACTCCTTAAGTGTCTTCCCATAAAGGAGCAGGCTCCTTCATAGCCCCATCTTCAGAATATGACGTCATCTGCCGTCACCGTCGAGCTCAACGAGGCTTACCGTAATCGCTCCGGCCTGAAGCTGCTACATAATTTCTTCAATCGATTAATGGTGAATAGCTTCTTAGAGACACTAGCTGTGACTGTGCAAGACCGCTTTTGACCAGCGTTTCAGGACGTCGTAATGGTCTATGGTACCTCGACCTCGTTGAGCTCGTACCGTGAACCATGTTTCCGTGGGAAAATCTTCTGATGTCGTCGGTGTAGAAAGCTGTCATGTATAATAATTTTTCGATAGACTAGAATGTGCTCTTCAATATTCAGTCGGGCTCATTTGGTTTGGTCGCGCAACGTTGTAATTAATTCCGTTTTGAATGTGGAGAGGAGTGAATCTTTTTTTGCACCCTCCCCCCCCCAATCTTTCCAACGGCCATATTTCTAAGAAGCGACTTGAAGAAAAGCCTGGGTGTGGTTGGCCAAAGATAATGTGCAGAAAAAAAGAAAACGCCTTTTTCATCGTGCCTATTCGCAGAGGTCGGGTAATAGTTGCGAGAAGCTTTTAGAGTTTTTATGTAAGAGTGCTTGGTTGTTTTTCTAAAGTTTTTCCTTCATTTTTTATAACGTATGTCATCATTTCGGGTCACTTTTCAAGGCGACAATGCGTGCGTATGGCTGAACGGCGCCGCCGAGGCTGAGCGACCGATTTGGAGTCGTTTGTGGAACCATTCTGAGAAACGGTACTGCACAGATGGTGGTGCCAACAAAGTTGCTAATAGGTATTGATGCTTCTAACAGAGTTTCTGGATATGCGGTCGCGTTTAGTGTTTTCGCAGAACTCCAGAATTAAAACCGCCTGATGTTGTCATTGGAGACATGGACTCGATTCTAGCTGATGTAGCCGAAGCGTTGAAACCAACAACAAGGTTGATTCACGCGCCAGATCAGGACAAGACGGATCTCACCAAATGCCTTGAATTCGTAGCAGATGACTTCAAACAAGGCATGCAGTTAGGTTATTATCATAGTATTCATTTTCAGTTGTCGTCGGCTCCTGCGACCCACCCGCTCATCAAATGAACTAATTTCTTTTCTGCTTTAGGCTTCACGGATAGTTCTGCTCGGGGGAACATCAGGCCGTTTCGACCACGCATTAGCCGCCATAAACTCGCTGTATTATTCAACATCTCAGCTAAAGCTTGAGGTGTACTGTCTTGATAGTGAGAATCTCACATTTGTTCTTGATGAGGTATGCATCAGTAGCTTCCTTGTGATTGTAATTTGATTTTTCTGAGCGACTCATTTTCAGGGTGAATACACTGTGAAAATTGATCGTCAGTTTGTAACAGGAACTTTGCGGTGTAGTGCCATTCTGCCAAAAACCGACGGTTGCTCACAATGAGTGGATTTCGTTGGAATTCTCGGTTAGTAGTGCTTGTTTTTGTAGAAAATATCAACCTTTATCCGTTTTTTCCTGTTATTTGCTTTTATTTGTCGCCGATTGCAAGGCGAATCTTATGGTTAGATTTTTTGCCTGGAACGGATGGGATCCGGGTTTGAGTTAGGACTAATGCAAGGCGTCACCATTTCTACTTATCTAGGAAACGGGGATATTGGAGATGGGTTGTCCTTTCTATAGCTTCGGATTCTGGAATATAGTAGGTCATAAACATGATCTCAGAAAAATTTCTAGACCTGAACACTTCGAACGTTCGAAGCTTTGAGTGGCATGCTTCCGTGAGCGCGATTGTTGCACGACGAGTATGAGGGCTCCAGGTGCGGTTCATTGTGCATGTTCGTTGTTAGAATGGCAAACGATTCAGTCCTCCTCGTCCTGCTATCCTTACCTTGGTTCCTTACTCCCCGACCTACCTATTAGCGCAAGACAGGGTGAACGCGACTTGCAGAAACCCAGAGAAACGTCGGATTCGACGAGTGTCTGCTGTGTTACACTAGTTTCAGTGCCAAGACTGAAAAAGGAAAGGCCCCAAGTAGAAACATAATGCAAGCATGCTAAACTAGTGATGTCAGAAGCATTTCTGGCTATGTTACTGAAAACAGCAAAAGAGTAAGCCGCCAAGGAAGCGATCCCACGCGTTGGGCTCAGCGTTCCACGGTGCGTTTAGAAAGATACATGTCGTATTAGCTACGTTGACCTAATGACCTCGCCTTCTCAATGCAACTTTCCATTTGCATTAATTCCTTCTATTATTTAGTTTTAACACGGGCGGAAGTGGTGTAGTGGCAAGTGGCACGCTCACCACGCGAGCGGTCCGGGGATCAAATCCTGGGTCGTGAGTCGCCCGGGCCAACCAAGCCTTCCATCCCTCCGGGGTCGGTTAATTGGTACCAGACTTGTCTGGGAGGATAAAAAACACTGACTTGAACATCGGCTGGCCCCCGCAAGTCATTGTATAGGCCACATCGCATTCAAACGCCACTACGAATGTACAAATGGAAGTATTAGGTTGGAAGGAAAGTTCCTTAACACTTGTAGCTCAATTTTTGAATTTATTTTTTTTATTCTTTATTTATTCAATGATCCATAACATATTGACCATTAGATACAACAACACTACGCCAACCTTCGGGCATTTGGGTGACACCGCAGAAATTAGAAATTAGGAAGATTTTTGCCAAACAACCTTCTGGTGTCGGATTTGCGCTCGTTTACGTCGTCGAGCTTCCTGTTCTCCAGGTAATGAGCAAGCGAGCAGGAAAGGTTGAAGAGGTGTATAGATAGGTTTGACGAATATGGCAGACGGGCAGCCGCGGTCCTGCCTGGCTTCAGAGTCTTGTGGCTTGAGACCGAACACCCGCGACGTTGCGCGTTGTCGTGAAGCAGGTTGACTTGTCGCTATATTCGGCGAAGCTCTTCTGCAATCTTTTCGAGCAGCTAGCATTGTGAAGCCCTTGTACTCGTCAATCCTCCAGACAGATCATCACCCGTGGGAAATACCGTCAAACGTCAAAATGGGCAGTAGTCGTGTGTTGCGTCAGAAAGATCAAAGTCTTCGCTGCGGAGCGTTTAAACCAAGCCGAAACCGCCATGTGAGAGAACGTGCCCAGGCCTATCCCGGGACTGATCCTGACCACCTCTGGTGGGCAGATCTCTCTAGGCGGAGCTCTTACAGAATGAGCGCTCGGAGTGTCTGGCGGGAAAAGTTGATTTAGTGCCATGCAAACGCCATTATTGGGAAAGCTGATTTGATCACCGTACGTAGCACGGTCCACTCCTACTATATACCACCCATGGAAGATTCCAGAGCATTCGGGAGAAATCCAGAAAGAGCGCGAATTGAGTGTTAAGGAACTTTCCTTCCAACCTAATAGAATTCGTGCCGCATCCATTATACGAAGTGATCCGCGGCAATTGCTTTTTATCCTTTTTATAT